GCTGATGCTGATGCTGTGGTTGCGGCTGCTGCGGCTGCTGTTGTTCCCCCGCCCTGACCTCAGTTAGAGTAATGACACTCTCCGGTGAGAGCACAGACGATGTGCTTGGGCTGCGCAGGTACGACGCGTGCGGCAACAGACTCGTTCGTCCGTGGTGCTGCTTCTGCTCGTGGTGAGAGTGGGAGGAAGCTGCAGTAGAAGCGGTGGCGTGGCGCTCCCTCACCGCCGAGGAGGTCCTTGAAGGGCCCCTCTCCGTATAAAGCGGCGACACCTTTCCCCTCGACGATGCGGTCGCCTGACTATGATGTGGCTCGCGTCGCTGCTGCTGATGTTGGCCGTGGTCGTGGTAACGGTGGCCAGAGTGGGGGCCGCCCGCCATCGCATCATCCCCATCATGCTTCAACCGCCACGGCGATGCGGTTGCCGCTGGTGGCATTCGTGCCGCATGCACTGAGCCTCGTTGCTGGGGTAGCTCTGAACGAGAAGCGGCAGGCAGCGCCGCCGTGGTGGCCGTGGCCGCAGCTGCCGCTCGTGCAGCTGTTTCTGGGCGACAGCCGCGGTGGCGGCGCGAGCACACATCACACTCATTGAAGAAGTTGCCATGGTGCTTGCACGGTTTGTAACGCGGGGCCGAGGGCACACGCACGGTGCCAGACGAGTTGTGTGTGTGGCCGCGCGCAAGCGACGAGTACGTCGGGCTAAGCGGCGACACCACAACAGAGGCGCACCGGCCCGGCAGGCCGTCCTGCTGCACATTTTGCTGCCGTCGCAAGTGTGTTTCGCCGTCATTGGGGGAAGGGCTCCGGCGCGTACTCGGCTGCAGCGGAGACGATGATGAGGTTGAGCGCGGTGACGCACTCCGCCGCCGCGGTGCGGCAGCAGCAGCAGCACCTGCAGCACTCCTCCCAAGCGCCTTGGGCGAAAGCACAAGCCCCGAGCTGCGCGGTGAAGTTCCACCTCGCGTCTTCAGCACCGTCGCTGCCCCTGTCGCTGGGGTTGTTTGCTGCGTTCGGTTATGTGCATCATGCCGTTCAGAGGCAGTGTGGGGCGGCATGCCATGATGGGTCTCGGATGCGGTTGTCGCGGCCGCCTGTGGCGAAACGATGCCCCGCTGGCAGGCCCCGCGCAGCTCCTCCGTCAGCTCCTTAATGGACTGTGCAACTTGCAGCAGTACCACATCCTTCGCAGCGGATCCACTAGAGGGCGATGTCACATCTGGTGGTAGTGGTGATGGAATTGAGTGATGCTGCGTGACAATAACGGGTGGAGTTGTCTCGTCTGCTATACTGCTGAGAGCCTGCTGCTGTGGTGGTGGTAGTAGTGATTGACCTTCAGAGATGCTATGCTGCCGTTTCCATCGGCGCAGCTCCGCTCGCGAGACGGCAGCCTCTGAGAGGGCCTTGTCTCGCTCCTGTTCTACGCGCTTGAAATTCTCGAGCACCGCACTGGCGCGCTGCTCTGCGACCGCAGCGGTCTCACGCAGCAGCTGCATTTGTTCCTCCATCTGCTGGAACTTTTGTGTCTCGCCATTGTTGTTCTCGTCGTTTTTAGCGCCGCTGCTGCTGTTAACGACTTCCTGCGTAACTTGGAACATGTGCGCGATCACCTTAAGTACGGTTTCGTCCTTGAAGAAGTGTGACACCTTCGGCCGCGGGTGGTTCGGCGGCAGTGGCGGCTTCGACAGCTTGTCGTCGCGCCTCTGCTGCTGCTGATCCTCACGATCCACCGCCTCCACCTCCTCGTCCTCGTCCTCGCGCACGCAGGCGTCAAGCACATCCTGCGGCATTGGATGCGAAGATGCCAGCGGCGCCCCGTTCACCTCCACCCAGTTGACGTACATGGCGCAGAGATCCACAACATCGTCCACGAGTTCACGCAGCTCCGCCGCCACCTGTGTGCGTTTCTGCAACTTCTCGATGATGCTGACAAAGCCGATGCTCAGCTGCTCCAGCGCCACCGCCCACACACATGGTCCCTCACCGTTGACACGGTTGAAGAAATAGCAGCCGCGCTGCCGTGTGGCGCGCTCGCTCAGTAGCCCGCAAATCTCTTTCAGCACGACCGGGTCCTGGTTGAAGGCCCGCTCCACGTCGAGCTCCGCGTACGGAGCCAGCATGTCCGCGACGAACTGCTGCACCATCTCTGTGTCCTTCTGCATAAGAATCGCAGCAAGTTTGTAGTTGGTGCTAAACTTCCCCAGTGCCTGGTAGACGCTAGCGATGTTTGACTCCACTGCACGGATAATCGCGTCGTCGCTCGCGTGTATTGTGTTGTCAGACTCCATCCTCGCGTCGGTTCTTAGGACAGCTGTACTAGTTGTAGAGACAGCGTCCTTCAGCTTTCCCATGTCCAGCTCCACGTAGCCATCGCCCCACGCGTCATCAAACGTCAACTCATCCGCCGCGTCACCACCACGGCGCCGGCTTGCGGACGGGATGGCCAAGTACCGCACACTCAGCAGCCCTGCCACCATGGTGCGCAGCTTCCCCACTGCCTCGTACAGACGGACCAGCCGGTGGTCCATCGGCAACACGCGATCGCTCGGGGCGTCCTGCAGCAGCAGTGAGAGGGCCGCACGCCGCGCGCCACCCTTCTCGCCGTCCTTCCCAGTGCTGCTGCCACCACCACCGCCAGTGGATGACTGCGCGGCAGCAATGGCTCGATCAAGCACCGGTAGAATGCCATCGGCAAAGCGCATGAGTGCGGAGTCAACGTCTATGAGACTCTCGTCGGTAATGCCTTGCGCAGACATGTCCTTGGTAGAGCAGAAAAAGCGATGGACTGCAGCGAAGTATTTGACCAACTTCTGCTGCGTGTACAAGTGATCCTCTGTGGTCTCCTGCAGACGCGTCGACCACCGACCAAACTTCTGCAACAACATCGCCAGAGACTCTTCGTTCTTCTGCTGTCGTGCGATGGTGTCGTTCTCGCCGTCAGCGCCCTCCCCCTCTTCCACCTCCTCTTCGTCGCGGCGTCGTTGCTCCTTGAGAACGGCCTCCACCACCTCGTCATCGGCAGACTCATCAGTGCCTAGCAGGAACAACGTCCGCTTGACACGCCGCCCCACCTCCGCCAACCGCATGAGAATCACCTGCATCGCCTTTCTGAACGTATCCGTCTCCTCGCGCCAGCGCTTCTCTTCTTCCTGCAACCGCAGTGTCTCGGACTTGAGAGCCGCGCGGTCAACCAGCGCCCCGTCATCCTTCAGTCGCTCTTCTAAATGTTTCAGCGTCTCTAGTACGTCGGCATCGGTGACGGGCTGTGCGGCGTGTGGTTTCCGCTGCTCCGGACGCAGCACGAGTTTGGATGTCGTAGGCGCCGCCTCCGCCTTGGCGTCCCGCTCGAGCTGAGCGGCTGCTCGCTCAAGTCCCACCAGACGGCAGATGGCGGCCACAGCGTGGCAGATACGCGAGAAACGTTTACCATGGGCAGCGCTCGACTGGACCAGGTTGTCAAGACGGACCTTGTTGGCCGCGTACGACTGCAGCAGGCGATGATGTCGCGTCTTTACGAGCTTCAATCGCTCCTCGAGGTCATCAAAAATAGTCGTGGCGGAGAAGGGTGCTCCCCCGCCGCTACCGCCACCGCCACCGCTGTTAGCACCACCACCACCAGAGGCGGTAGTGAGTTCCTCCAGCATCTCAGAAGAGAGCGCACCGAGCAACTNTTTACGAGCTTCAATCGCTCCTCGAGGTCATCAAAAATAGTCGTGGCGGAGAAGGGTGCTCCCCCGCCGCTACCGCCACCGCCACCGCCACCGCCACCGCTGTTAGCACCACCACCACCAGAGGCGGTAGTGAGTTCCTCCAGCATCTCAGAAGAGAGCGCACCGAGCAACTCCTCCATTTCGCTCGTGTTCCCTGCACCCAGAAGAATCTCCTTGCTGATCTTGATGAGTTGTTTGCCGCGCTCTCTCACAGCCTCCTCCACACGGGTCTTCTCTAAGCGACTCTGTGCCCCTGTGAGGTGTTGCTTCTGCTGCTCCTGAATCCATTGCTCCTGTCGCTGCTTCAGCAGCCGAACCATATCGAGAAGGTTATTCACTGGGGGATCGATGCGAGCCGAACCCATGGGGGAGCNTTCAGCAGCCGAACCATATCGAGAAGGTTATTCACTGGGGGATCGATGCGAGCCGAACCCATGGGGGAGCTCGGTGGAACACCGGTTGGAAGCAGCTGAGCCAGCTCGTGCAGACATTGTTGAATCATCGCTTCCTCTGTCACCGAAGAGGTACCGCCACGTCTCTCCATTGCCCAAAGCCGCAGTTGCTCCGCCGTGTCCACGAGTGTCGACAGGGTGGTCTGATCAACGACATGCGGACTCCCATCGTCCGCTTCGTCTGTCAGCTGCGCAATCTGGGAACCTAACTGCTGCACCTGAAGGAGTAGAGGGTCATCCGCCGCCTCTGCTGCGACTAGGCGCTTCACCACCCCTTCTACGTAATCGGTCAACGCACCCCCGGTTCGCAGCAACTCGACAGCTCGCATGCGATATTCCTCTGGTAGACAGCGGGCAATCCGCATCATCGCCTCCGACGGCTCCTTCTCCTCCCGACGCCCACCCACCCGCAGCTCCGGTGTGGCCTGCTCGCAGCGGTCGTACACAAGGCGACCCAACTCATCCACGATTTCCATGAAGGGCCTTTCATTTAACACAGTGGCCTGCGATCCCCTACCCTCATGCCCAGTCCCACCTAACGTATATGCCATCTCTACAAGTAAGGGCTTTGCCTGCATTTGATTTCGAGCCAACATAAAAAGCAACTCCCTCGCTCCAGACAGCGCTACACGCATGTACTTCAGCATGGCTTCAGCAGAAGTATCGTCAGGTCCCTCTCGAAGATGAAGGGGATCCACATTTAGTTGGCAACCTCTGCTCACCTCCCTCATGACAGAAAGAAGAGCCTCCAAATCCCCCTTGATCCACTGGTCGTGATTGAAAGACGGGTGGACGCTTTCATTCTTTGAAAACAGCGTCTCCCGTTCCTGTTCCAGCGTAGGAGGAGAAACAACACCACATGAGGCGAACTTGGCCATGACATCTCGTTCGTATTGAAGAAGAAGCACAGAATTTGCATGGTTCTCTCGTCTGGCAAACTCCAACTCCTTCACCACCTTGAGCACTAAATCAGGCGTCTGGTCTGGGAGAGTCCCGGCTGGCGCCTCAAGTATATCCATGATCTGGTGAATTTTTTCACTGTTGGTGTCGCCAATACTAGCCCCGCTCGACGCAGGGAAACAGGAGGAGCGCAGGACATTCAGCATCTCCTGCAATGAGGTTTCCCTAGACAACACCTTACCCGGACAGTTCTTCTCAAGAAATGTCCATGCCGTCTCCTTACACTTCTCCACTTGTATGAGAACTGCTAAGAGACGACTCTCTATATCGGCAAGTGCCTCCGTGCTTTCACTGGTCATCTCATCGGTGACGACAGCAGCAGCAGTCGATCCCACACCGAGTTGTTGCCCAGTCAATTGAAACAGCGTTTCGTTAACAACTCCTGCAAGCGACTCCTGCCTGTAAATAGACTCAGCGCCATCCTTTTCGGCCCGGTTCTTGAGGTGAACAACGGCAGCTAGTAGGTCTCGAACCGCGGCATCTGTCCTATCATCTTCAATGAGCCCAAAGATGCGACTCTCCAGCTCCTCAGGGAACACCGGTTCATCGAGGCGCGTCTGCCTTGTGGCTTCCCTCAGTATGGCCGACGTTACCTCACGCCCGGGTACACGCGGGTGCTGCTCCAGCAAGGAGTTTGAACGCGTCATTTTATCCACACTTGTGTCTTGTCGGGTTTTGTCCGAGTCGCACCCTTTTTGTGCCAGTTTGAACGAGGTCCACAGCTGAGCGTGGGCACTGCTCCATTCCTGCCGCTGGCTTTCCATCACGACGACTCTTCCGGATAGAACAAGTAAGGGGATCGAGAGAGAAAGAGAGAGAAATAGGCAAAGAAGAGAGAGAGAGAGAGGGAGGGAGGGAGGAGAGAAAAGAGGGGCATATGTATGCATGCTTGCATGCATACATCTCGGAGCGCGTATATTAATGAAAGGGTACCAAAAAGAAAAAAACAGCTTCCCTCCAGCAAGAAGGTGGGCCGTGTTTCTTTTTCTTTTCTTTTAAACACCGGAAGANGCTTACCGGCTGCTCCATAAGTTTCTTATCGCTGCTGCTGCTGCTGTTGTTGTTTCTCTTGGATTTGAGCGTGCCTCGCCTGCATTTTGTGGAACAGTTCCTCGGCTTTCTGTTGGGAATCCCTTTCCTTCCGCTCTATTTCTGCGATGGAGGCATCCGTTCGCTTCAGCTCGCCATTGATGTATTCAAGACGGTTGTTGACGATTGCCTTGGCATCGCTCTGATCTTGGAGAATGAGAGCGGGACCAATGAGTTTGTAAACCTTGGAATCCGGCTCTAACCTGTTCATCTCATCTCGCACTACATCATTCTCAGCCTTCTGAGCACCAAGGTGACGACGGGCCTCAACGAGCTTTGTCTTCTTGCCACCCAGCTCCTGATTCTCCTTGAGAATGAGCTGCAGCTGATCGTTCATGCTCTTGAGCTCCGGTGGTACTTGTTGCATTCTGCCTGTCTGACCTCTCGCTTATGTATGTCGCCGCTTCTCCTGGTGCAGAACGTACAAAGAGGTAAGAGCGACAAGAACAGTAACAATGTGGTTGAATGGGAGGGGGCAAATAAAAATAAAAATAAAAATAAGACAGATGATGTACTCCCTCCGAATGCAGGAGCGTATATATATATATATATATATATATATACCAAAAGCGGGCCAGGCATCTCTGCGTGTGAAATCCCTAAGTCGAGACATGACACCTCGCTGGGGCATTCCGCTTCAAAGGCATAAATAAAGAAAATCAGGAGGACCCGCGAGTAATCCATAAAAATTTAAACAAAAAAAACAACAACAACATCATCATCAGGCCCTGCGTTTCCGATCGGCTTCCAAGTTTCCCTTGTTAACAATTGGCCACGAATCAATCTGAACCAGGAACGGCAGGTACATATACACTTTGTCACGGTACCTTTTGTCTTCTTCAATTGGATTCCGCTCCAAATACACCGTTTTGAGGCTGTCCTTGAATCCACTCAGCTTCCCTACCTCATCCCACTTATCTACCTTCCCGTCCGTGAGCCAAAACTCCTCGAGAAAAGGCATTGTTTGGGGATTGATTGCATCCGCATTTATAGAAGATATCGGATTAAAGCTAAAATCGATAATCCGTACCATTGAAAGACGTTCTACGTTTTGAATTGACGTCAAGCCGTTCTCGGAGAGGTACACTTCGCGTAGCTGAGGGTTGGCGTCGGGACCCAAGAAATTTTCCGCCTCAATGCTTGTGATGCGGTTGGCCTGTAGGCTGAGAATTTCTAACGACACCAACTTGTGGAGCGATGCGCCAATGGCTACTATCTTGTTCTTACCGAGCCACAGTTGCCTCAGCTTTGTCAGTGTCGCCAAACCAGGTCCAATCTCACGAATCCGGTTCCCCCCCAACTCGAGCAACTCCAAGTTGACAAGCGGCTCCAGATTCTTAATCTCCTTAATTTTGTTTTCCACCAAATACAGCTCCCTCAGCGTCGGCGCAAGAGACTCCAGTCCACTGATCTCTCGTATCTGGTTGTAACTCAGGTCCAACTTGGTCAGACGTCCAAAGGCATTGACTACGTTCCGCTTTGGCGATGGCTCCCCCTCAAGCCTGACGGTTGTGAAGAAATCCCTCAGTTTGCGAATCTTGTTGTCAAAGAAGTCCAACTCCTCGAGACGAGCAGCGAGGTGCTCTGGAAAAGGCGACAGTTCGTGAAGAAGGTTCTTTCTGAGTGACAGTGAGGTGCATTCAGTAAATTTGTCCAGCTCCACCTCATCCAAAGAGAATAGTCGCATGTTGTTGATCTCAATCATCAGGCTCTTGGTATCAATATTAAGAATTATCTCCTCTGCTGAGTGCTCCCCCTGGCGCTCTTTGGGAACTGGCGGCTGTTCGTCCTCCTCGCTGTCATCATCGGAGTGTTTCTGCGGGCCAGCACTCTGCGCGGCAAACATCGCCTGGAGTCCACTCTTCAGCTTTTCTCGTCGACGCTTCTTCTCCTCGCTGTCCTCAACACGGTGCTCATTTTCTTGGGGCATGACTTCTCTCTTCCAACGCAAATACAAAGTTAGCACAGCAAAGAAGACGGGAGAGCTACACACAGATTTATCACCACCACAAATAGTAACCCCCAGTACAGCACCCTTGACTGGGCCATCAAAAGTTTTTTTTACAACTAGAACAAGTCTTTACTCGCTTTAATCGGCAGGCTACTCGATATTCTTCCTTACCTGCCTCTTCTTCTTCTCGGCGTGCCTGCGTCGCAGATCCCGCACACCTTCCATAATCTGCCTCCGCAGCTGCTTGAAGCCCCTCTGCCGCTTATTGACGACGTTTGGAAACCGAATGCTCGCCACCTGCTGTGCCAATGGTTTCTCACCTTGAGCACTTTTTCGCTCCTTCATCCCCAAAGATTCCTCTAGCTTATTCTGTTCGTCGTGTTTTTGTTGAAAACGCTTACGCTTTATCTGACGTGACCCGCGAAGTCCTCGTGGGGTCTTCTTACCAGCCGATTTCGCCTGGGCATGCGTCACAATGGAAACCCGCGATCCCCTCCCAAAGCCACGTCCCATCCCTGCAAAATTCTAAACATCGACACAAAGACAGTACAGGGAGAGAGAGAGAGAAAGATAATGGGGGGACAAAAAAAAAAGAGAGATGTGGGGGGAAAAAAGAAGAATAAAGCAATAAAAAAACTGGTATGTCTATTTCACACGCAAACACACACCCACACAGAGAGAGAGAGAGAGAGACTCTATATTTATAGAAGCAGCCCGGGGAAAAGATGAAAACGGCACAGAAACCCGATGAGCTTTCCACGCCCAGTCCAAACGACAGAGTCATACAGAAGCAGGTGCTCAGAAGAAGCAAGAAAAAAATGTTACCAGAGAAAGAAACACCAAAGCCAAATATGACACCCACCTACATAGTATCAGAGTAAAGAGACCGCATGCGCCAGCATAGAGCCCCGTGATCAAGTAAGGCAAAAAATAAAAAAAATTCCCGCTCCCTCAGTGATGCAGAATAACATGGACTTAATCTTTCACCATACCGAAGGGAGCGGGAAAACATATAGCAACCTCCCCCCATTATCACCCCACCACACGCCGCGTTTGAAACAATAGACCATGACAAAGTTCCCACCACGGAGCCAGTTCTTAAGGGTAACGAAAAGGAAATGGCAAAGACATTTTTAACACGAACCCCCACCCAAAAAAAGGCAAATCCTTTTCTGGCACCTACGTGTTGCACAGTTTCTCCTCAAGAAATAAACCCACCGCCGACCCCACAGCCCAGGCAACGCGCACCCCCAGGCGCAACTGAACCTGGGGGTCCCGCAAACGTTTTTTTTATGACCAGCACCTTGTCCGCCGAGGTGTTCAAGTTTGCAGCAGTCTTGGTCACAGCGTGCGCGAGATTGGTGTTATTTCGCAAATGGAAACAAATAGCTGTCCAGCTTTGCTCTAAAATCCAGGAGTTCCACGCGCACGAGGGTGCTGAACCGAATTCCAAATCATACCCGGCGCCTTTTCCTTTGCGCACCCGGCG